TTACAACTTGGAAAAGCAGGATGAAAAAGCTGACAAAACAGGTGGACAAAACAATTATTCCTTTTCCTTCTTCTTTTACTCTAACCCTGTTTTCCTATTCTGCCATGGTCCCGATGGCATAATATCTGTGGAGTGTATATATATATATATATATATATATATATATATATATATATATATATATATAATATATATATATATATATATATATATATATATATATATATATATATATATATATATATATATATATATATATATATATATATATATATATATATATATATATATATATATATATATATATATATACTCCACACCGTTAATCAGCGTAGGAATGGGTCACTGTCAATCTTGGCTTACCTTGCATTTTGAGGCAAGTACTATCAGTTTTTCAATCTGTGACTATGTGCGTATGTTGAGGCATCCCATTAGTATAGATGATTGATGACTGCAAATGGAAATGCTTGATCTGACGTCGTCCGCTTGGTTGAACATTGACTTATCGACTGGACCAGAGGGACGCCCTGCTATTTCATGTGGGTTGAAACTATTAGGCAAACGCCTATCAAAGCAAGATGGGGGCAAAAATTGATGGATTGAAAACGGGGTAGAAGTGAAATTGAAACGGGACCGTAAGGATGAATAGCGCGTGAGACTTAATAAGAAGACGTGAGGACTTGCGTAGTAGCATCCTCACACCTATCCAGCCTGTTCAATACGGAAGGTATGGCGTCGTTGAGTATCCTCTGTGACGGCCAGAACATCAACGAATTGCTTGATGAGAACTTTATTGTATTTCTTGGACAGGATTCTGTCAGATCGCACACCTCTGAACAGAAGAACGATTGGGGTTCTCAACTAAAGCCTTTGATACTATCCGACTGCAAGACAGCGGGGTTTTGGCACAGGGCTACAGAAAGTTTGTTTTTTAGAGTAAGCTATCACTCTAACTCCCAGGCTGGAGGGCCAGGAGACTGAGTTTGTCTGCCCTCTAACCATTGTCCAGTCTGGTATAAGTGACCCTGAAGTGCAAAAAACAGCATCTAGCATTGCTCAGTGGACCGGTGAGACTCGCAGGCCATCGCACCAGGTTAACTTTCAGTCTCAACTTCTGCGATTATAGCGGATTAAGACCTAGTTTTTGACATCTATCTTGGTAAATCATAGTAGTGGAGTACTTTAGTACGTGCTTCGTGAATCTCCTTTACCCGCTCTCAAAAGATATTTTATCAACCCCTTTCATATCAGTGCATACAATTGAACCCTATTCTGATGTAGCTAGAACATACCCTATATGGCTTAAGTCTAGCTTCGTGGAGTCCGAACGATCGACGGGTGACATTGATGATACATTCAACCTTTGTCATTCGATAATTGCATTGTTCGGAAAAGTCTGATGTTAGGCAATGCCATGTGCTCGGATCACTTATGGTGATGCGTTGTGTGAGTTATTCATCAGGTAATGTCGATTTCGTGTGACATATAAGAAAAGATTTGGCATCTGTCTTAACCGAGCGCCATTTCCCGCAGACAACAACAGAACTCTGTGGATAGGGGCATTCTGAATACGTTATAGTGCCTCGAATGATTCATTCTTGTTGAATAAATAGACGATTTTTATGTCTTCAGCATATAAAATTGCATTTCCGTAGTCAGGTTGCAAAATATGTCACTGATGTAGATAAAACAAGATCCAGTACGCTACCTTGCATTACCCCACTTGTGGCTGCTGTGGTTTTTGAGGAGTTGTTATCGACTTTTACCATTGGTTTTCGATCACATAAACCTTACGAACAACCGTCCACTGCGGAATTTGCCTAATATTTTTGTATTCAGCAACTAATCAAAGGATTTACTCTACTCCAGGAAATCTAAATGCTTGTTGTCATATTGTTGAGCAGATCTGTTTGACAGGTGACATATTACGACTTACCCATCAGATCTTCCGATATGCAGTGCTCAACAGGCCTCTCTCACTCTCCATTATCCTGGAGACAGTTGATGTGTGATTAATGGCACCATGGTTTTCAATGACGTATGATTTCCCACCTTTTAATCACGGCCTTACGCTGCGTAGTATTTAAGGAGTGTAAATATTTTGATTAGACAAATGGGGACATTTGAGCCTCCTTATTTAATGAACATTAAGCTCAGCTCATCAAAACTCTTGAAACAGAAGGATTTTAGACACGAAATCCGAGATGATATCGTCCTCGTATCGATGTCTACATGGCGAGGACGTGCATTCGTAAGTGAGGCAAAGGTCAGCCACTCTGTCTATGCTGCTGTACCTAATGATTTTGCGTGGTACGAAATAAATCTTTTGCATGTAGCGGCAGGACCGTCAACGTGTTTTATCATCAATTATTACAAATCTGGTGACATTCTTCCGAAATTTCATGTGCGAAAAACGTCCTGAGATACTCTCAGGCTTATTACCGATCGTCAAGTAAGGCTTGGTACGCACTGTCTTGACTGATCTCTTCTACGATAGCTGTCATTGCGTCAACGAATGACATTCGTATTACCGTGTATGGAATACTGTTCAGTGATCCAGCCTAATCTGCAGAAATCTGACCAGCATACTCTTGATAGAGTGCAGCGACGCTTCACGAAAAAGCTATGTGGATATTCCTCAAAGTTGACATACAGAGAGTGATGTGATAAATTTAGATTTTACCCAGTTTGGGTTCGGATAATGAAGCTGAACCTATGTTTTCTTTGCAGAATCCTAAATTGTCAAATTCGCAATCTTTATAACGGTGTTCACATAGCTTTAAACAACAGATATCCAATACGTAACAAAGAGGTAAAGGTCCTGATTCCAAAATTTTACTACGTGAATCAGAGAACGTTTCTTTCTAACCAGATACTCAAAGATTTGGAACAAACTTCCAAATCATATCAGGACATGCTATACAATTTTGAATTTTAAGCTGGCGACTAGTATGCATTTAACTGTCCAAAATGTGGTTAATATGTTCGGGACATCACAGTCCCTAGATAACGCATTCGAAAACGGTATCCACGGTGGCCGAATAAATTTTTGTAACACATACACAACATTTCGGACAACAGCCCCTTTCATTTCATTTTCTCTCGGCACAAACATCTGTCATGTGATTGTGAAGAATTCTGGTTCCATGGTAGGAAAAAATAACAGAACGATTCTGATTGCTCTGTTACTTAATTTACAATTGCGCCTATGTTTATTTCTGAAAATGTAATAATGTCATGTTCCTTTTAGGGAACAGCTTCTGGCATCGTCGAGGAATATACGATTTATTTATTTATTTATACGTTTGTGTTTTCGCCGAATTTCATGCAATTTATGTTATGTCCTCGATTACCTTATTCTTTCATCTGCATTGAAGCAAGTACCAGTTTTTCGCTTCCTGTAAACATGAAGGTGTAGCTAATCCTTCTCACATCGTAAGTAGATCGTACTTAACTGTGTCCTAATGAGCGAAATCTTTTGGATTGCCGTGAATGTTTGAGTCTGAGTTGATCATTCATTGATCGCTTTTTAATACAAGTACATTTGTTTTGATCAACGGAATCCCCAGCGTCAATGTTACATCTAGTGTATTTTTTTCTGCATTGGAGGACCGCACATTTAGTTACCAGCCAACAGGTTGGATAGAAATGACTGAAACCTACTTGACGAATTGCCATCTGCCGTATTTCGAAAAAATTTTATGTGACAAGTTTGTGCTCAACTAGTGATTCAGTAATACTTTCGACTACGGTTGACATGAATGATATGTAATCTTGCTTAAGGTTTGATGGATTGTAAACGTACCCTAGGAAATCTCGGTGTTGACTAGCAACCAGGATCCCCCATGTAAATTAACACCGCGCAATCGAATGCTGTTCCTATGTGTGATTCTCTCACACGTATTATGCAGCCTCCGGCTCAACGGCGCTGTCAGTTTTTTCTTTAAAAATTATTGTATCCGCAAACTTCATATCCTCATCGGAAGTATTCTTATTGTCAGGACTAAGAGTCAACATGATGGAGCGAAACAATATTTTTGATGAAATTGAGCGAACGTTAACGAGATTAGCAGTTGGTGTGCTTATGCTGAAGGTTTACGGTGGTACTAGAGTAGGCGTTCTTGACTCCATGCCAGGAACCCTGAACAATACGAGTATTGCTGGGAGAGACCGCAACTGGGTCTAGTACAGATGAGCTATATCACAGTAGGTTGTTATCCTCGCTGTGGCGTATGGACGTTTCCCTTGGTACGAATTGACCAGACTGTTGTGTGATATATATTCATTTCACTGCCCCCACTCCGCATCACGTATCAATATCTTACAGTTTCCACACTTTACAGAAATTTCCCCCTATTTTCTATTTCGTTCAACTGAATGAATCTTCGTAGGCACATGTGTGATTTTAATCGTAGTAACGTTTCTTTTTGGTTCTCATGTATGGATCAGTAGAAAACTCTATGGACATAGCTGAAATAACCACTGGGGGAGGTCTGCGTCTTGAAATAGCGAGTGAATTAAAGTCGGTGTGAAGTAAACTACATTAGATACCAGGTCCGCGGTAGAAACACACGGGGAAGTAGACAGGAAATGCGAGGCTTTTATTACGCACAATAGGGTATGCAAAAATATTTAACAAAGTAGACCACCGTGTTCAAGCGAACACTAACTTGCGGAATGATTGTTGCCCTACATAATGAAGGAGAAGGGATAGCAATCCGTAACCTTGTAATTCACAGTTCACATAAGTAAAACAGTCTACATACTCTAATCAAGCTATTTTTCGGGAGCCATCAGTTATTTATTGTTTTATTTTACTTGCATCCGCTTTAGCAGCCCAATCTTTCGAATGTCCGCATCAAATAAATTAATGCCTGTCATGAACAAGTATTACCAGCTGTTTTGGCGTAGGGTTGAGAAACATGTAGTGGCCAAATGTGCGTGATGTTGTGTGTTCCTCGTCTCTCACATATTCCTCTTCTCCCTGTTTGATTATCCAGTCAAGACCGAAAGGGCCCGCCGCTCTCTGCCAACCGTAGGAGACTTTCGGACGATATGTTACAAGGAGAATATATCGGTGGTACGTTTCATCTCAACTCTTCAACAGAATTATATCATGTTTGCCAACAGTCGCCTTTCTTCTTGAAAGAATAGACCATCATTGTGTGATGACTTAGGATCCCAATTGTCCCTAATCGCTCGTTCTGTGTTATCTCACGATAAGGTTAACACATTTCTAGTATTCCAAACTGAATCCCAAACAAAGTGTTTCACACTCGCCGATGGGACATCTTAAGGCATTCTCCCTCAGGACCGCGGTTCATTTTCACATGAATCACGCTCTATTCCGTCGTTGGGAGCGTAGCTCAAGCCTTCAAACGTTGAGGTAATCATTCGTTTGACCGTCCCAATGTCTCAGTCGCAGTTTTGCCATCTATACCGGAGAAGTGCAAAACAAGTTCGAAAGCGGAGCTTGCGTACTGTCAAGGAAGCCTGGTGGACCAATAAGGCTAAAGAAATAAAGGATGTGGGAGCGGTAAGCAACTATCGCAAACTGTTTCAGCTGATCCCCACTTCTATTGTTTGTAAACAATCAAGTTGCCCAGCTGGAAGAACACCACCACAACTGAACAAGCCTCCCGAGCTACCAATATTCTAAATCATTTCGAACACCTAGGTTCGCTCAACGCTCCGCACTGCTCGTTGTTGGGAGCATTTTGCTTGCCGAAATGCTTTCACAAGGCAACAGCTCTACTTCCTCCATGATTGCTTGCGAAGATATTCTTCCTCGCAGTGTCAGCTATAGGTCACCGTTGAACCATCCACAGGCGTGGACAATTGCGCGGCACTTCGGAGAGCGTATGGTACGAATGATGATCACAGACGCCCACAACCGTGTCAGAAAATATGAACGTTGTCTAAACGAACATCGAACCACTTGTTTACAAACAACTGGACATCAAGTGCAACTGGCAATAGAGCGCAGTGCTAAAAACAGAAAAGCAAACATGCAGACTGCGCTTCACCAGAAGTTGACCAAACTGACAACCAGCACAGACGGATGCATCAACAATGGTTGGATCAGGAACCTGTCAAAACGGCCACTCACTGGTACGGAACAACAAATGCTCATCAAAGGCCTAAGTTATAACTACCAAGACGCGACAACTACGGAATTTCTGGCACGATTTGAAAGCGTCTTGCAGTCCAACGGACTAGACGACGAAACACAGAAACAAATCAGATATACAGTCCTCCCAGCCATGACACATTTAAAGCAATGCAACCCTCTATCCCGGCAAGAGGAAGAAGCAATAAAAGCTCTGAAATCGGATGAATCAATTGTTATTCTACCTGCTGACAAAGGACGGATTACAGTAATTATGGACAAATCAGATTACATCGAGAAAGCAAAGTAGCTTCTGAACGATACTACAACGTACCAATGCATTAAGAATGACCCAACGTCGCAGCTAACCAACAAAAAACAGAGCGTTGGCGAAGCTTAAGCAGTCTGACGAAATATCGGAAGAGGAACCAGGTAAAATGAGGGCTCGAGACTGAAACATTGTACAATTCTATGGATTACCTACACAAGGATGGTGCACCCTTACGACCAGTTGTGTCACTTTCAGGCACGCCCACCTGCAATCTGGCAACGGAACTACGGAGACGCCTCAAGCACCTATTCAGTAAATCACAACACTCCATAACCGATGCCTAACAATTCTTGACGAGGCTCAAAGTCCTAAGAATAGAATACGATGAAACCATGGTGTCCTATGATGTAACCGCCCTATTCACTTCCGTCAACCTACTGCTGGCCAAAGAACTTATCGCAGGACGTCTGGACAACAGCGGAAAGAAAATTGGGAACACGACGATCGGAAGTGTATGCGAATTTCACTTATGTCTATCATCTTACTTTGCGTTCAACGGAAAGATGTATAAACAAGTGAATGGTGCACCGTTGGGATCCCCCGTATCCGGACTCATCGCAGAGATTGTCGTGCAAAAATTGGAAGAGGATCTACTACAACTGATTAATCCGAAACTTTGGGTTCGCTACGTCGATGGCACGTTTGTGATACTCAAACGTAGTCAAGTACCGGTTGCACAACAGCTGCTTAACGACGCTATAGACGGCATACAGTTTACCATAGAATCATAGAAAGAAAAAAGACTTCATTTCTTGGATGTGCTAGTAGCCAAAACAATGAACATCGAATTGCAAACATCTGGTTACAGAAAAAGCACTCACACAGATCAGGTTTTGAACTTCGACAGCTACGACCCAAGATGTCACAAAATAAGCTGTGTACAGACACTGTTCCGTAGAAGAGCAACTCACTGCAGTAAGACAGAAGCGAAACGAGCAGCAGAAAAGCACTTATTCAAGTCAGTTGAATGCACCGGATACCCACACAGTTTCCTCCAAAGATGCTTAAACCGTAAGCCCTCAAAAACCGAACCTAAGTCAACTATGACGAAACATGTAGTTCTGCTGTAGATATTGAACGTATCTGGAATGATGCCTAGATTGCCCAAACATCATATCATGGCATCCCACAAGCCAACCGCCACCCTGCGGAAAACACTGTCAAGACCAAAAGGTAAGCGAGAGACAGTAGAACGACGGAATGTCGTATATCGAATATACTGCGTAAACTGTGAAAAGAACTATGTGGGACAAACAAGGAAGGAAACTGTCCACAAGGATGCAGGAACACCAAGAAGTGTGCATGAAACATTACGCAACCTCATTCGTTTCAGCACACATGGATGAAGAGGGACATAGCTTTGACTGGAACATAGTAGAGACCTTGACTGAAGAAGAAACACAAAAGGGAGGGTTTCTTGAAGCCTGATTCCCAATTATGATCTCAATCAACATGCATGTCGACATCGATCCAGTGTACCAACCGCTAAGACAGAGAGATCTCAAGGGGATTAACAAACGTTGTTCGAAGGAACCTAATTCAACACCCAGATAATGAACAGGATGGTCAATATGAGTCCAGATTGCTCACCTACCTCCGTTGCACCAATCCGGGTGCGATATTCCCAACCACTTCGCAACAACATTTGCGCAGCCAATGGCAGTGAATCGAGCACGACCGCAGAACACAACCAATAACCAGTCAGGACGAGGCAAACTTAATAACCCCGTATGCCTATCTTGGGTTTGCTTTCTACTAGCTCCTGGTACCTGTCTGCTATCAATCCTGCACTGGACATGCCACCTCAAATGGTGGCGAAAGTTTGTAATCAGATTTCCCTCCTTGGAGAACACCACAACAACTTAACAAGCCTCCCGAGCTACGTATATTCCAGATCATTTCGTATCACAGTTCGCGTCTAGGTCTACGGTGATTTGTGGGATATCTTTCCGTCAACAAGTGGCGTTCCTTTGGATTTTGCACAGTTTCCCTATTTTTGTTCGATTTCGTCGTGGAATGCATCACGGAGTGTTCCCTTGCGGAGCCTCTCGATGCAGGCGTTGAGATGATGCGTGATGGAAATCTAGATAATCTTGACTATGTGAGCGATATTGTCTTGCTGTTTTACGATTTGGTAGCCTAGTCGACCCTGTAGAACCTTTCTAGACTGGTTTTCTCATTTGGTATGAGCTTGGCACCTTGTTGATGTACTACCACTTATTTTGATGATGATCCTCAGCATAGACAAATTGTCTTCTCGAACCAGTTTAATCGCATTTGCGGTTTTTCCTTTATGGACACCTTGCCAACATTCACACCTGGGATATGAAACAGAAATTTCGGTTCAATTAACAAACACCTGCAATACGCAAAATCAACGAGCAGTCACACCTAGAGACCAACTCCAGCGATGATTTAGCACACTTGCCACATCGAGCGCACTATTGGCTTGGGTTAATAAATACAATCTGAGACTGCTTACTTATCTAGCATTGATACTCACCTAGTAAACTTACTAATCGACTCTTCGATATTGGCTCCTCGTGCCCACTTTCTTTCCTTACTAAACAGGCTTCGATGATACGCACACGACCTCATATGCTACGGTACCATGCGCCTGTCATGTCCGTAGGTGGCGTTTTTCTTCCGTATGCAATAGTTCTTTCTGGTGCACCCTGGCAACCGCCCATTTGATATGCTGGCACCATGATTAACCTACCCTGATCATGTCCTGGTAACGTAGCTTCGATGTGCTCAAATTCCGCTTCCGTGCACGTAGTTGGTCATATAGTAGGTGTTACCATGCCCTCGTCAAATCCATGCTGCGCACATGTCCGAGCTACAAGTGTCGCAACAGAAGTATGCACCTGGCTGGACGCAGCATTTTTGCGTCAACTACTCGGTCGTCGCAGCCGATGCCTAGAATCCGACGGAAGCACTGTTGAGGAACCCGCTCCAACTATCACATCTCGTTCTAGCATAGCGTGCATATTCCACTGCCGTAAAGAAGAACCCACAGAACCATCGACTGGTACATCATTAGCCTGGTCGCAACAGTGTTCCAACTTGCCAAATGCTGCACTCTAACCATACACGGAAGCTGAGCTCGCTGCTCGTCGCCACGGTTGTAGAATGTAGCCCCCTAAATAACAAACTCTCGGTGAGATTCCCAAAACGTCAATGCTGCATGTCTATTAAAGGTGACTGTGTTTTTCTGTTCCATCCGAGAAATTATTTACACTCACGCTTTTGGCAACTTTTTGCTTTATTTTTCTACACCAAGTCATATAATAATCAAGGTCCTGATAATCTACACTCCCGTTATTTTAAAATTCCTTTATATTTCTACTCCATTGTTGCGCCATAAGAAATAAACTGAAGCGAATGTGTGAAAAGCAGAACAATCATACTAAAAAGCCTAATGCTAGATGGAGAGTCGTTCTACCGCAGAAATCATTGCGGAGCAAGAGTATACTCATTATACTTAACTGAAATATACTATCAGTTACTAGCAAAGTGAATGAGATTAAGACCACAATCTGCTTTCTTGAATACTCTTCGCTAGGCGTAATTATGCCTCAGGAGAGCTGGCTCCATGAGGGCGTGGGCGACACAGTTGTATCCATTGAGGGATTCATTT